ATTTTTTTATATAATGATCCTGAAACATCGTCTTCAATGGCATTGTCCTCCAACAACACTATGATTATCATTCGAGTAACGGATAGAGGTAATACTAATTTTAGTGAATGAATCTAGTACTACTAATACCAATTAAAAATACTATCGCTAGTTTAGGTCGTTCAATGCACGCAATGCATACTACAAAATTTTATAGTAACACCTGCAGCGAAAAAATAAAATTTGTTTAAACTCCGATTAGAGTTCTGTAGACGCCGTGCGGAACTTGCAAAACCTAATTATAAGCATAAATCTTTTAAGCCTGTAGAAATGCACTAAAGTTTTTTTATAAATCTGATTAATTGAAACCATTCGAAATAAAATTAGAACTTACTATTAAAAACTGATATAAATATTGTTTAAGTTATTTATATTTAACAGAAAACTTTCATTCTTAAATGACCCATTTATAATTAGAACTTAACGGAACCAATAATAAATCTACAAACTAAATTTAACTCAAATGGACTGTGAGGCTTTATCACTCACTACTTCTTACAATTTATAGCTGCATATCCAGTTTGCTATTAATAAATTTTAATAGTATATTTCTGGGATCAATGGTCTAATTGGTATGACGCGTACCATCATCAAACAAATAAGGAACCCAAAACATAATTGTCATTAATAAACAAAGAACTTTGGTGGCCTAAAAAAAAAAAATTAAAATAGATAGAATTACTAAATTTCGCTTTGATAATTTTCTAAATTTTATTTATATAATGCATATTCAACAAAATGTTAAACAATTATAAATGAATTAACATTGCATCACAAAACTAAGATTAATTTTATGCTTAATTATTCAACAAACGAAAGTCAATTCATTATTTTTTGACTTAATCGGATAAGACTGGCTTCAACTACTTCATTGTCAAGTTCATTTATTTTTGATGACGTGTTGCCTTTGCATACAAAGCAAAACATACATTACGAGTGGGAGTTGAAAATTCCTTCTCTCAAGAGGGCTTTGTTAACGCACCTTGGGGTGCCTTATATCTTTATAGTGAATTTTCCTGACGTCCTTATTCGAATCAATAATTCGAGCTCCCATTATAAACCTTATTATGCTGCAGAGCTTGGATCGCGTACTTTTCGGTATTTTAGTGAACTCGTCCGAAATA